CCGCTTAGTGGCACCGGGGAGAAAGGCAGAGGGGACCGGGGCTGCCACCGCCACCGGCATCCTCGGCACCGCCGTCATTGGCCCCCCGCCACCGCCACCGCCATCCCGGACACCGCCCCTGTCGCTGCCGTCACCCTTCCCACCACCGCAACCCCCAGCTCTGCAGGGACCCCCTCGGGGTTGGGGTGACCCCCGCGGCCCTGACCCCGCTGTCCTTGTCAGTCCGAGGGCAAACCCAGGCGATGGGTTTGCATCCCTGTGCACCCACCGAGCTGGCACCCAGCACCCGCCAGGGACCCCCCCACGCCTGGCGGGGGTCCTTGCTCTGAGTGGGGGGATGGAATGTGCTGGAGCCTTCATGTGCCACGAGCTGGAACTTTTTAGCATCAAAAACCCCGGCACAGAAATCCCCGGTGCCGTGTGCCAGGGCCAGCAGCTGGGCCGGGCTGTTTCCTCCTCCCACCCTGTTTATACCGAGAACTCTTGACCCCTTTTATAAGCTGAATATTTCAAAACACTCGGCCCACGCTGCGGAAACCCCCCCGCTCTCCCTCGCCTCCCCTTTCCTGCCCCCCCCGCTGTCCCAAACTGGACATAAAAGGGAGCCCCAGCCCCAGCCCCGGGTGAGCAGCGTCCACCCCGGAGCCCCCGCTCACCCCAAAACTCCCACACACCCCCAGCTGGGCAGAGGCACCGCCGGGCTCCTCCACAGCCATGGGGCTGAGTCCTGCTCCCGTCCTTGTTCCTGTGCTGCTGCTGCTCGGGGCCACAGTGAACGGTGAGTGCACCCCCCTGAACCCCGGGATGGGGCCAGGGCAGCGACGTCCCCAGCACAGGGGGGGTTCCTGCCCAGCCCCCCAATTCCTGCCTCCACCTGCAGCCAGGTGCTGCCACAACCCACAGGGTCCAGGAACCCAGCAGGGTACCACGGGAGTGACACTGCCCTGTGCCCCTCACCTGACAGGGCCTCTCTCCCGCAGGGCAGCCTCGGGGACGGATCCTGGGGGGCTACGAGGCCAGGCCCCACCTGAAGCCATTCATGGCCTCTCTGCAGCTGGACGGGCAGCACGTCTGTGGGGGCTTCCTCGTCGCCGAGCAGTGGGTGCTGAGCGCTGCCCACTGCACTGAGGAGACGTGAGTGGGGGATCAGCTCCGTGCCTGGGGGGCTGCTGGACTAGGGCCAAATCCCACTCTGCAGCCCTGACTCTGGTGTCGGAGCGCGGGGCTCTGATCCCGTCTGCAGTGAGGGCTGAGCAGGGGCTGCAGGAGCTCCTGGTACCCCTGGGGGGCTCTCTGGTCCCCCAAGCACCCCATTTCCATGGCTTGGTGCAGCAACACCCCCACTCTGTTTGTCCCACACTCTGACTCTCTTCCAGGGGTGACAAACTCTTCCAGGTGCTGCTGGGTGCACACTCGCTCACGGAGCAGGAGCCCCACAAACGCCTTTACCGGGTGCGTGCCCAGTTCCCCCACCCCGGCAGCAACAAGCACAACAACAAGGACGACCTCCTCCTCCTCCAGGTGGGCTTGGGGCCACTGGGACCCTCCTCCCCACTCCTGCAAATCCCGCTGTCCCTTGGGACCCTCCAGGGTCACTGACTGAGGACAGAGAAAACCCTAAAGGTCATGCTGGGCCTGATTCCCCTGTGCCTTCCTCCCTGTCCCATGGGACTATCCCTGCTTCCCCCACAAAAGACCTTTGAACTGCATCCAAACGCCTCCATCTTCCTCGTGGCTCCAGCTCTGGTCTCTGGCTGCACCCTGGGGCTCTGGTCAGGAAGCAAAGCCCTGAGCGTGGCCAGGCCTGGGGTGATCCTGGTGTCAGGGCTGGGCTTGCCCTCCCTTGCTGGATCGTGGCACAGCTGCCCCCCTGACCCGGGTCCCCTCTTGCTTGGTGGCAGCTGGAGGAGAAAGCGGAGCTGAACGCGGACGTGCAGGTGCTGCCGTTCCAGCGGGAGGACAGGGACGTGGCGCCCGACACGGTGTGCGAGGTGGCGGGATGGGGCATCACCAGCCACAGCGGGAGGAGGCCCGACAGGCTGCAGCAGGTGGAGCGGCCGGTGATCAGCCGCGACGTCTGCAACCACCGCACGCGCCACGACGGCACCATCACCAACAACATGATGTGCACCGACTCCCGCAGGAAGGACACCTGCAAGGTACTGCCTGCCTCCCGTGGGCCCGTGGCTGGGGCTGCCAACCACCCCGGGGGGGCCGGGAGAGGGCAAGGCAGGAGAATTTCCACAGCCCGGGAGAGGCCGGGGCAGTGGGGCAGGAGGAGGTCACGTCCCTGAGGTGAGGGGGCTCCGTACCCTGTGCTGGCCACTGCAGGGCAGCTCAAAGGAGCCTGGAGACAGCAATCAGGGATGGGAGATGGGCTGGGGCATCCCAGCAAACCCTTGGCCGTGCTGACGAGCCTTGGTCCTGCAGGGGGACTCTGGTGGCCCCCTGGTCTGCGGCGGGGTGGCCGAGGGAGTGGTCACCGCCGGCTCCCGCGTCTGCGGCAACTACAAGAAACCGGCCATCTACACCCGCCTGGCCCCGTACGCGGCCTGGATCGACGGCGTCATGGCCTCCGCCGATGGGGAGGGGGACACTCGCTGAGGGGACCCCGGGGACCTGCTCCACGCCACGGCTTGCTGCTGCCAGCACGGCCAGAGCACCCACGCCGCTGCCCCGCTGCGCACCAGGGGCTCCCACCGCCGCCCACCCCGCTCCCGGAGCGTCCCCCCACAGCAGGAGGGGACGGCAAGGAACCGGGGAAGGGGGTCCCTGGGTCCCTACTTGCAAAGCACAGGGCCCAGCTGGGGGAGGATGGGGGGTCACAGTCCCCCACAGGCTTCGCTGAAGGTGCCCAAAACACTGCCCACGATCGCTGCAATAAAGTGATGATTTCTGCAGAGCTGGGAGTCTGTGCAGGAGCCCCCCACTGAGGGGAGCTGTACATGGGGTGGGAGATGTGGAGATTGAGCCCCTGGGGACTGGGTGGCCTCGGGTGGGAGCAGGGGACACATCCTGTGGTGTGGCCATGATAAGGTCCACAGCCGGGACCTCCTGCAGGGTCATTGTGTGAACACTTGGGAAAGCAGAACCTGCCTGTTGCTGATACAGCAGCAGTGGCTCCAGCTCCTACAGAGGGATCTGTGCTGGGACCCAACAAGACTCTTACTGGGTCCCTCTTGTCCCAGGAGCCAAGAAGCAGGGCGAGGCACAACCCCATCTTCCCACCATAACCCTGGTCCTTGTCTCATGTCCCCCCCACAGACCCTCATTCTCCAAACTCCCCAGTCCTTGGAGGGAGCGGGGCCAAGGCACAAGGGATGGGAGCAGGGCAGCAGCATGGCCCAGGGCACTGCCAGACCCTCCCAGTCCCATCCTGGGAGCTCCATGGTGGGTGGGACATGAATGTCTGTTCCCCTGCTCCATCCCAGCGCTGTGCTGCTGCTCCCTGTTCCCAATCAAATATTAAATAACCCCAAACCTGTTCTCTGAGAAAAAGAGACTCACAAAGGGCCTCGGTTGAGTTTTACTTACAGGGGAAAAGAGCCTTAACAAGGTGCAGTTTCCTAATTAGACATTTGATTGTCCTTAATAACCAGCAAAACAGCGAGGGGGAAAGCTCTGTACAGCTCGTCCAGCTCTGTGCAGTGAAACATTCACTGGAGTTTGGGGAATGAGCTCTCTGTCACCAGCTCCAGTTCTCAATAATAATGAAAATGCAGTTCCAGAAGGAATGTACAAAAACTGGCTCATTGCTTCCCTTGAAGGGTGTGTGAGGACATGAAATTGGCTGGTTGGGACGCAGCTGGAGGCTGGGAGAGCTGGGAGAGCTGGAGAGCTGGAGAGCTGGAGAGCTGGAGAGCTGGAGGCTCCAGGCTCTCCCCACTAAGAGCTGAAGGACCCTGGGGAACAGAGCAGGCCCAAGTCACCCACCTGACCCCCAAAGGGCTGGGGTTCCACAGGCACAGCCTCACTGGCACCAGGAGGTTGTGATTTCCTGTCCAGTGCAGCAGCAGCCAGGGGGGCCACGGGAGGGCAAAAGTCCAACAGGATTTTCGGCTGCATCACGAACGCTCCTCCTCCGACCCGCTCAAGTGTCTGGCTTTGCCCGAAGCTGGAGACTTACCCAACCCCAAGGATTTCATGTTTTCTACTCACGTGTCCATAAGGATGCAGCATTGACCTTGAAAACATCCATTTCCCCTGCCCCTGGCAGCTCTTTTCCTGACAGATGCACTGGGGGCTTTCCCATGGCTCCCTTGCCCTGGCCCTGCACTGGGTGGCCACGTCACACCACAGAAACAAACCACATGTTCCGTACAAAATTATGGGAGTTTTTATTTACAACAGCAAGAGCCAAAGGGGGGTTCATTCCAGGCAGCAGCACTCGTGTTCCTGCTCTGATCCAACACCGATGGGCACGCAGGCGACAGCTCCTGTCAGAGGGGCAGATCTGCTCAGGGCCCAGGAGTGCCCAGCCCACGTGGCACTTCTCAAGCAGCCAGAAGCACAGGGTGGATATGAAGAACCAGGTGTTTGTGCACCACACTTGGGACCTTGTTCCCCCCCAGCCACCCTGTCATCTCTCTCTGCCCAGAGTGCTCCGCCAGCACAGCCCTGACACACAGCCAGGCTCTCCCCTCCCAGGCCCCAAATGATGGGGAAACCCCTGGCATTGCCTTCCAGCTCTTCCCTGGAAAAGAAGAGCTCCCTCCACTCCGTTTTCCAGCACAGCTCAGCAAGGCAGAGTGGCAGCAGTTTGTTCCAGGAGAGGAGCTGCTGTGCCCTTGTCACGACCCCTCCATGGAGGGAGCCCCACACAGCTCTTGGCCCCCACTGTGCCCCAGGAAGGGCTCAGGAGTAGCTGAGGGGCATCTTCCTCCACAGCCCCCCGCACAGGCAGTTCTTGATCCAGCGCTGCTCCCACTGCTTCACCGCTGTCACCTTGTTGGGCGACTTCAGCATCGTGACGCAGCCGCACCTGGGGGGACACGGGGGGTGCAGCCAGCCCAGGGGGGCCCAAGAGCCAGGGCTGCTGGGCTGCTGCACGGATCACGCAGGAGTGGGGCCATCCACGGGGGAAACCAGCTCCTGCCATCTGCAGGTGACTCTTGAGAGCACCAAAACCAGCTGAAACCAGCGAGCAACAATCCTGCTGAGGGCCCTCCTGGAGCCTGGCGTGGAACAGCCCCAGCTGCTGTTTACACATGAAACAGTCATCTCACAAAAATGATGTGCTACAGAGGCTTTCTATTAAACCCAGTAATTAAAGCTAATTCAATCACATGACTAGATGGATGTTTTTTCCCTGAGCCATTATCCTGAAATCCAGGCTCTCCCGTGAGGGTGGATGAGGAGGCCAGCACGAAATGCGAGCCTGGGTGGAAAGACGACCCCAAACTGGGAGCAGGGGTGCTGGGTGGTTCCTCCCCCCAGCCCCACTCCAAGCACACAGGTGCTTTAAGGACCAGCCCTGCACAACTGGGAATCATATAAAGGAGTCACTATAGAGACTCCTCCAGGCCCAGTTCTGGCTCCACTGACCAGATTGTTAATTTATGAACTTAAATCTCATCTGTTTGATTTTTAACCCAAGGGCCAGGCCACAGAGAGGCCACTCTCTGATAATGCCCTGAGTGTCCCAGGTTGGGGACATCTTAGCCACAGCCATAACCAGCCTCAGAAAGCTCCTGAAGGACAGCCAGGACTGTGAGTGCTGCCCAATCCCAGGTGCACAGAGCAGTGACCTGTGTCACTCACCTGGTGCACAGAGCAGTGACCTGTGTCACTCACCTGGTGCAGGACTTGCACTCCTCCGTCGGGTACGTGCCCAGGTGCAGCCGCCTCAGGTGGTCAATTTTGGGCTGTCCAGGGGCCCTGGGGAGGGAAAATGGGACTTGCCCAGTGTCACTTTCCACAGGCAGCTCCCAGGACAGGGAGCTGCATTTCAGTGGCCAACCTGGCAGAGGCTCTGCCCACCCAGTGCCGCGGGATTTGCAGACACAATAACCAATTAATCACAAACCAGAGAGTTTTTCCCCCATTTGCCATTGCTTTTCAGTACTTCAAATTCCCAGCCCATCACAAGTGGAGAAATGGATTCGAGCAGAGAGGATAAACTGCTCTTGGGTCAATCCAGCAAGAGGACAAGTCAAACCCCCAGGTGTCCCAAACCACAGAGCTGCCAAGAGACCACAACGCCTGCAACACCCCTTCTCACCACAGCACCCGCTCGTTCCACGTGTCTGTACCTGACAAAGGCATCGAACTGGGAAGAGACAGTGTGGCCAACGAGCCCAGGAGCCTTCCCGAACTGCAGCCGGACCAGCTGCTTGTTCTGCAGCTTGCTGATGATGCCGTCGTTGATGGGCAGCCAGTCGATGTTGGGAATGAGCAGCTGGCTGGGCAGGAGGCAGCACTCGTCGATCAGGGCATCGTCAGGCTCCGTGATGTGATTTTCCTCACGACCTGTATGGAAAATGAAGCAAAGAACCAACGACACTTTTACAATCCTGCTTCAGAGCTCCAGAGAGCTGCGTGCACCCTCCTCCTCCACTGCCAAGACAGCCCGGAAAACAATAACCCTGGCAGCTGCACTTGCCCTTTCTGAAGGCATCAGACCCTTGGAGTCACGTCCCACAGTCAGTCCTTGCACGCACCAGCCCCACCGAGGCAGGAATTACTGTTCAGGGAACGGGTCACACTCACAGCACAGCCAGAGCTTGGTCAGGAGCCGGAAGAGCAGGGACATGCTGTCCTGGGTGTCGGAGGTCGCCGTGTACACGGGGAGGCAGCTGGGCTTCAGCAGCCCCCAGATGCGGATCACCACCATCAGCTCCCGGAACATGCCGAGGGACGCGCCGTCGCGCAGGAAGCTGTGCCCGGGGCGCACCGGGGAGCCCTGCCGAGGGACAGCGGCGTGGGGGGGTCACACCCGCCCCAGCCAGCGCTCTGCACCCACACAGCTCCTGTTTCCAGCAGCACTCACCCCACAGCACCCGCTGCCAGGGATGCGGGAGGTCTGCAGAGCTGCATCAGGTTCCCTGAGTCCTGTGGGTACCGTGCTGGTCACTGCGTCACTGGCCCCAGTGGGCATGGGAGGGGCCCTTCCCTAATTCTGCTGATCCTTACACTCCTCCCCAGCGCCTCCCACACCCCACAGGGAGGACATGTGGCCCTGGTTAAAACTCCCCAACACTGCCCACGGGTGTTTGCACCCCCTCAGTCTGTTCCTGGGAGTCCAGGTCTCACCTGGTTGGGAAGGCTGGCCAGGAGATAGAGTACAAAATCCCCCACCCACTGGATGAGCTGCTGCAGGGACTGCAATGTTGTCATCTCCAGGACAAACTCTTCTGTCTTCAGGTTAATCATCACCTTGTCAATGTCTGGAACAGAAGCAAGACATCACCTGGCTCAGGAATATGGATCCAAACCTCAAACCCTCCCCAGGGAGGTCACCCTCCTCTTCCTCCTCAAACCTAGGAGTTGCTAAGACACTGTGGCACTTTGTACTGAACGATGGGGAACAATCCAACCCCAAACGCTGGGAAGGCAGTGTGGGATGCTGTGAGCTGTCAGTACCTACATCGGTGATCTTGGAGCAGATCTCGGTGAGCCGGTCCCCGGGGCTCTTGTCCGGGGTGTTGAGGAAGTGGGGGCGCAGCAGCGATTTCAGGGTGCAGCTGATGGCGATGAGGAAGAGCTTGGCGTGGTAGTCACACACACGGGCGATGGTGCTGGAGGAGAGTTTGCACAGCGACGCCTTCATGGCAACGATGCGTGTGGAGAGGACCTGGGCGACGGGGAGATGCAGCAAAATGCACAGGGAAAGGCAGAATTAGCATAAGCTCATTAAAGCTGCTGCTGCTGCTTTATTTTCTGCTCTCAATTTTTGCCACAGGAGTGACAGGAATAATGAACATTGTGCACGTGAGTGCTGCTGTTCCCAGAATCTGCCAAAAATAGACTTCACCATCTCACCCGAAGTCTCCAACAGGTAGAGACCCGCTGATGCCAGTGACAGAAAACACTGCTATCGTGGAAGCCCGTCCCAGCTCCAGCACTGCCTGAGCCAGGCACTCAGAGAGCACAGCAGAGCCGCCTGTCTCCCGAGGAGTGGCACTGGCTGCTCCCCACTCCCAGTCCCTGAGCCCCCCCATGCCCACCCTCGAGGTGAACCCAGAGCTCCTGCCCACCGACCTGCTGCAGGGCCGCGTTCTGGCGCATGTACTCCTCGTGCAGCTTCTCCACCAGGTTCTGGACCATGCTGGGCTGGACATGGAGCAGGATGTCCCACCAGTCGTAGCCGGTCACCATGCAGTACTCCAACAGGAACAGCAAGTGCCGCAGGGACATGTTCATGTCCAGCACGTGGCCCATGGAGGGGGAGATGCGGAGCATGCTGAGCTAAAGGAAAAGGAACACTGGCATCAGGAATGACCTTGAAAACATCCAACAAAGCTACAGGGCCACTCCTGACACAGCAACAATTCCTGCAGCCATGGGGCACATCCCTTCCCATCTAACAGGGATCGCACAGCTGGAATTCCCAGCATTTTCTGAGTGACCCATCATCACCTGGAGAGCCTGGATGAGAACTAACCCAGCTGTAAGAAAGCACCAACCTTGCCGTGACTGTCCACGCCAGCCAGGGCCAGCGAGGTCCAGGAGAGCTGCATGGCCTTGAAGTGCACGAGGGGCCCCGCGGTGCGCGGGCGCTTGAGGGACGGCTCGTCCACGGGGCGCTGCGAGGAGGAGCCGTAGAACACGGCCATCATCTGCAGGGACAGCCGGTGCACGATGTGCACGCTGCCATCGTGGAAAGCCAAGGCCAGGCCTGGGGACAGGAGACAACCGAGGCTGAGCCAGCGGCTCCTCCCAGCACGGCACAGCCCTCGCCCGAAGCTCTGGCCACCATCGAAGTCCACGTGGCAACGAGGAGCAGTCAAAGGGCTGGGGGCTCCCAGGCCCCACGTCTGCACTTCACAGAGATACTCCTCTTCCCATGGAAACACAACGGGATGGCTGGGAAGACATCATGCCTTCGAAAGTTCTGCATGAACATTCCACAGGCTCTGCTCCCATTTTTACTTCAGGTACAGCTCAGAAGTTTAAGTTTCAGGCAAAAGCCATGTATTTAAGAGAAAGACAACAGGAACTCCTTACCCAACCCAGGGAAGAATTTGGTGTCATTTGCCACCTTCAGATCCGTGTTGGTCAGGGAGATGGGCAGCTTTGGCAGTGCCACGGCCGACACCCGGTCCAGGTCGTTGGTGGCAGACAGGATCCTCCACTTCAGGATCATGGGCTGCTTGTCTCCCACTGGGGAAAATAAGCAAGTAAGCAAGACATCTGTCCCTAAGAGATCAAATCCCCCGTTTCTGCCCACACTCTCCAACCAAGCAGGATCACAGACCAAGCACTTCATTCCACCAGACCAGTATATTCCCCAAATACTTCCCATATGTTTCCCTTGTATTTCCCTGGTTTTTTCCCTGAATTATACAAACAACTTGTTTTGCCAAATTTCCCCTCATGGAAGGCTCTGCTGGGGGTGATTAGAGAATCCTTATGCATAATAATCCTTTCTATTTCACCAAACACACTGCCCTGATTGATTCTGTTCTATCTGAGATCGGGTGGAGCCCAGGCAGCCTGGGCAGGGGGTTAATCCAGCTCTGCTGCCCAACCCTGGTCCTTTGGAGGCTCTGCTCCCAGCAGGAAGGATGGCTGCGAAATTAACAACCAAACCACTTCCTGGAGACAGCAAGTCGCTGCCTACGATGCAAACAGATGAGTGAAGCATGTGACTGAGAACACCTGAAAATAAATGTGGGATTCTGGATAACCCCATATATGAGATAAGGGATGTGAGAACCTGTCCTGCCTTTCCCCTCAGACCACACTCCTGTTCTTAAGAGCACGTGGTGCAGACACTCACCCACAGGTGAGATCTGCTGGAAGATGTTGTTGACTGGCAGGCCCTCCTTCCGCAGGGACCAGCACTCCACGATGCTGTTGTTTTGGTTGGAAGCACAGAGCAGCACCTGCGGAACAGAGCCCCACGCACGGGGGTCACAACGGGGAGGGCACTGCCCCTGCCATTCCCACCCTCTCTTCCCAGGGTCCTGCTCCCACTCAGGTCGTGCCCCGCCAGCAAAAAGCAGAGGATGGAATCAGTGGGAGGTAACGGTGAGGTCCCTAATTCCAGCTGCACCAAAACGTCAAGGGCAGTGCAGGACACGCTGGTCACCTTCAGAGCCCCTGGGGAAGCCAAGGTGGAGCAAACAGCCACCTCCTTGTTCCTCATCGAACTCCCACCTGCCTTAAGAGCAGCTGCTCACCTGCTCCGACATGTCCCGAGCCAGGAACTTGAGGTGAGTGATGGCCGGGTACTTGTCCTTGCGCGCGGGGTCCGTGGTGCAGCGCATGAACAGCGACGGCAGGATCTCGGTGTCGATCTTGCACTTCTCGTTCACCACACTGACACAGACCTTGTAGAACTGCACGGGGGAGGTGCTGCTGCCGTCCGACGTGGCCACCACGATGTTGCCCCCGCCCGTGAAGGCGACGTCGGCCAAGGCCACGCGGCAGCGCAGGCGGCACAGGCTCTCGGTGGCCGTCAGCACCTGCCCGTTGGGCTTGAGGAGGGACACGGTGACCAGCCCACTGATGGTCACGGCGATCCAGCCCTCCATGGGCTTCCCGCCGAACAGCGTCAGCGACGGGGAGAACTTCACCCTGGAAAACTTCTCGCCGAAGTTCGACGCTCCAGACTGTAACAAAGGTCAGCAAAACCGAGGCATTTGCACTCTGTGCCTGTGGAGCTCTCCTCGTGGGAGAGGGGCAGGATCTCTGCAGGACACCACAGGAATTAAAAGCAACAGAAGCAGAGAACTTGTGCTTGGCAGCCTCGGGCCTTGGGAGCCTGCAGTCAGATATGTTTCCGAACAGGGAGCTCATCTCCCTCTTGGTCCTGTGCCCAAACCCCTGGATCAAACCTCAGCACCTCAAACACATTTCCTCTGAATTACCACTGGTCAGGAAAGAACTGCTCTATCTCCATGTCCCAGCCCAGAACTAAAGCACCACACTAAGAGAAACACATTTAAAGTGCCAAGAGAAACCCAGGTTCTAAACCCCACTGGAATTCAGCAGGAACCAGGAATCTGACTTTCCTCTTTGGCAAAAAACTCCCCTACCGGACTTGGCCAAGGTCATGAGGGAGCTCAGAGCAGACAGAACACAGGTGGGATCCCAAGTCCTTTGCCAAGACATGAGCCAGTGTTCCAGCCCAGGTTCCCCCCGGAGCTGGGACAAACCTTCTCCACGTGCAGCGCCAGCTTGACACCGTTGTGCAGCCAGGACAGGGCCACCACCGGGTCCCCCTCCACCACGCTGCCCACCGTGCTCTCCCAGCTGTTGGCCAAGTGATCTGTCATGCTCCAGCACTTGATGTGTCCGTCGGCATCCGCCGAGAGCAGCCTGGAGCCTGGGACAGCAGCACTGTGTGAGAACAGGGGGAACAGCCCAACCCCCCCAGAAATTGCCCTCCATCGCTCTGGGACACAGGGACAGCAAGGAGGGATCCCAGCTCACCTGACTGATCCCACTCCAGACACGTGATGACCTCAGTGTGCCCAGAGTTCACGGAATACACGTCCCAGGGGTGCTCGGTGTCGATGATATGGACCATGTGGGTGAGATCTGCAAGAACACAGAGGTGACTCCCTGTCCCTCCTCACCAGCCACTGTTTCTGAGCCCACAGAGCCTCAGCTGATGTGGGGAAAGACATTAAATACTTTACATAAATGATTTTGGGCAGGATAACAACTGTGCTGGGAACTCAGTGAGGGGCCAGACACCGACGTGGAGCTGGTCCTGGTTTAGGGGAACAACCGGGGAACAACCACCCATTGGACACTGTTAGAGGCTGAGGGATGGGAGGAAAAGCAGAGCAGCGTTCCCTGCCAGGGCTAGGGCAGAGCCCCGGCCTCCCGGCCCAGAGGACCCTGGACCAGCCGGTGCTCCGGGAGCTCGCAGAGGTCCCCCCGCTCCAGGGGAACACGGTACCTTTCTCCTCCTCGTTGCGGAGGTCGGTGGTGAAGGCGATGAGGTTGCGGCAGGACCAGGCGCACACGAGGGGGATGGAGGGGCAGTGGTTGCTCTTGGGCTTCTTCTCCCACTCGCACACGTACGCCAGGTCCATCCCGCCGGCCGGGCCCCGGCGGGCACCGGGACGCGGGACGGGCTCGGTCCTGCCTGGGGCGACACACGGCCCGTCACACGGGCACGGCCCGCAGGGACCGACCCGGGCGAGGCCCCGGCGGGCGGGGAGGGTCCGGGGGGGACACAGGTCCCGCGGGATCCCGGGGGATCCCCGGTCGGTCCCGGCCCGGCCGATCCCGGTCCCGCCGCACCCACCGGCGCGCGCCGCCTCCCGCCGCTCCCAGGACCCCGCCCCGCCCCCGCGGGCTGCCCCGCTCCGCGCCTCAGGCACCGCCGCGGACACCCCCGGCCGGGGTCCTCAGAGCGGGGCGGGGCCGGGCGGCCAACTCATGGCTCTAATTTGCATGAACGCCTACCCAGAACCCCCCGGGGCAGCGACAGCAAACAGAACCCCGTATTCCGGGCTTTCTGGAGGAACCGAAGGACAGCGAAGTGTTGAAACGTTGGGAAAATCTGAACAGACTTATGAAAGCTTTCCTTCCGCAACTCAGCTGAGTCACCCTGTCCTAATTATTTTTAAATTCTGGACCTTTAACTTTTGCCGCAGACAGAAGGGAACTCGTGCTCGCTTCGGCAGCACATATACTAAAATTGGAACGATACAGAGAAGATTAGCATGGCCCCTGCGCAAGGATGACACGCAAATTCGTGAAGCGTTCCATATTTTTCGCACCTGCCCCCACCCCCCTTTTGCGGGCGCTGCAAAAGGAGAACCCCCCAAGACGCCCCCCAACCCCGCCCGGCCCCCCGGCCCCATGCAAGACACTGAGCCGCAGCGGGGGAGCACCGTGTTTATTGTTCCTGAACACACCCATGCCCAGTCACTCCAGCAAAGCAGGCACCAGGGAGTCCCCGCAGTTAATGGCAGGCAGTGTCAGAGCAACCTGCAAAGACCCCCAGGGCACACCCTTCGAGCAGCTTGCAAGCACGTGTCGGGGACACAGGGGACACAGAGAGCCCCCCAAAACTGCCCCACCTGCCCCCATGGCAGCTGTGGGCAAGCAGGGAGAGCCCCGAGAGGGGCTGCAACCCCCAGCACGCACACACACACGTACGTAAATATACACACACGTGATAAAAAACACAGGCTATATTACACTTAAAAACAGCCCCGTGGTGCAGGCAGGGCACAGGGAGCCCCCCTGGACACCTCCCCGGGCTGTGGGCGCCAGAACGCGGCAACCCCTGGGCTCTTCCGCCGGCTCAGCGATGGCTCAGCACCCGCCGGGAGCTGTTTCACCGCAGAAAAATCTGGACCAAAATCACCCCACGAGCGTCAGCGCCAGAGGGGGTTGGCCCCGCCTGATTATTTTTAAAAACACCTGGGTTATAAATAGACACACAAACAGTTCCAGGAGGGCAGGGCGGGGAGCGGGGCGGGCGAGAGGCACCTGCTCCGCACCCACAGCGGTACCGGGCAGGGCTGCCCTGCCCACACCAGCCCCGGGGGCACAGCCACGAGCCCCCGGCTCTGCCCCTCCTGCAGTAGGGAAGGGCCAAGGGTCCCCGGGGCTGGGGGAGGCCAGAGCGGACGAAGGAGGGGCAGGGCAGCCCTCGGGGCATCAGCTCAGCTGCCCCAGGTAGTCTGAGAGCAGCAGCTCGGGGGGCAGGAACACGCGGTGTTTGTTGCTCACTTTCATCTGACGTTTCCCTTCGATGTCCGAACCTGGGGGGTGGGAGGGAGCAGTCAGCACACCCCTGTCCCCCAGACACGGCATTCCCAGCCCAGCCACCTCCCTCCACTCCTCCCCCTGGCGCTCATGGCCTCCCCTGTGCTCTGTGCCCCCCCAGCCTCAGCCGCCTCCACGTGTCCCTGCCAGCACCGTGGGCTCACTCCCCATCATCAGTGCTCTCACGCTGTTTTCCACAAGCAGCTCTGCAGGGATGGAGCCTGGTGTCTCTGTCTCCTCCCCTACCTTAGCAACAAAACCTCTTGGGAGGCCCAGGGCAGGCTGCTCTCTAGGAGGAGGCAGCAGCCACAGGAGAGAGAGCCCTGCAAGCAGCCTCTCACTTTGGGCCACCCAAATCCCCCCGCAGAGCAGGGCCTGGCCACCCCCTCAGGTGCTCCCAGCACTGGTGGCCACAGCCAGGGCTGCCCAGGGAGCTCCAGGCAGCAGGGGTGGAGCACGGGGTTATCTGTGAGCCCCAGCGTGAGGTGGGGCCGGGAGGAAAAGGCTGAGCTGGAGAGGAGAGATAGTGATGGAGGAAAGGGGAAAACAAAAACAAAATCAAAACCAAAAACAAGCAGACACAAGACTTACTGGCAGAGACGAGATCCATGTACTGGCAGAGCGCGTGGAGCAGGAGCCGCTCGAAGCTGGGGGAAATTGGGATGGGATCAGAGCTAACACGCCTCTGAACAGTGTCCCACACGCTGCCCTGCCCTCAATCCTCCCAGGGACCCACGGAGCAGATGGGGAGCACAAAGTGCCACGAGCTCCTGCACGGGAATCCCTGGGTGCATCCCTCCCCCAGGGCTCCATGGGGACCAGGCCAGGTGGGGTGTCCCCAGATGGAGACCTGAGCCTGGCTGAGGGGAGACCAAGGAGTGTCCTCTGCTCCCAGAGCCCCTCAGCAGACTGGGCAGCCCCGGGACACAGTGAACCCCAGAGCTCAGGACCCCGAGCTGGGGAAATACCTGTTGTCCATCAGCGCTGTGTAGACCGAGTGGGGAGTGACAGAGAAGAAGGCCAGCAGCTCCTCCTCCAGCCCTTCCAGCGTCCCCTGTAAGGAGAGGCAGGGACTCAGCGAGGAGGGGGCTGTGCTGAGCACAGCCCCAGCACTATGGGGCCTCCAACTCCCCAGGAGCTACTGCCAGCAGCTCCCAGGCAATAATCTGGATGGGAGACAGTGGGGAGGCACTGGAACAGGAGACAACTCAACTCTCCAGCCCCCGAGGCAGGGAAGGATCCGGCCCCTGCCAACTCCACAGTGTGTGTGCCAAGGGCTGGCACTGTCCCTTGTGTTCAGAGCAGCCAGGGGAGCCTCGTGCCTCCTGACACAGGGCAGTGCTCTGCAGCTCTGCGGAGCACCGTGACCCTGGAGACGAGCAGCAGGCGCGTCTCATTTGAGGACAAACAAGCAGAAGCCAGTGGGCAGGAGGAGCCCAGGCTGGGTTTAGAGGCTCTAATTAGCACCAGGAAAACAAACAGAGCAGCAAAACAGCCCCACTGAGCAGAGTGAGCGGGGAGCCAGCACCCCAGGGCCGGCAGAGGCAGTGCCTGGGCAGGCAGCGCAGGGAGCGTGTGGCAGCCCAGCTCCTGAGCCCACACTCACTTCTCCCCATCCTGCTCAGCAGCTTCTGCACTTTTACCCCTTTCAAAATGCATTGGAGTTTTCCCAAATAACCTTGTGTGGGCCACTGTGAAGACCCCAAATGCTCTATTGCTTTCCCCATGCGCAAACACGCCAGGTTCACCCATCACCTGCTGCTTATTGCACAGAGACTGGATAACAGCCACTGGAAAAGGTCCTGTAACTGCCAGAGAAATCTGAACACAGCCAGGAAAACCCATCTGCAACCAGCCACCACCGCAGGGTCATGCAAGGACTGGAGCACGTTCCCAGGAGCTGCTCTGAAATTCGGCACCGCCCCGGCTCAGCGCCCACACACAAGGTCAGGGCACAGCCCTGGGGACACGGCTGTGGAGGGAGCCCCGCCTGCCCCCCCGGGACCCTTGCCTGCCCCCCCGGGACCCCTGCTTACCATGGGGATCCGGCCCCGCTTCAGGGTGGCGCGCAGGCGGCGGCTGATGCGCTGGAAACACTCCTGGGGTGTGTAGGCCGGGAGCTCTGGAGCGACAGAGAGAAGGGAGAAGGGACTGGGACACAGCTCACAGCCCCAGAGCCTGCGGGACGGCTCTGGCTGCAAAGTGTCACCTCTCACGAGGACCCAGTGGCAGGGCACCCCCTTATCTCATGGGTCACAGTCGCCCCCAGACCAGCAATGCCTTCCCCAGCGTGGGAGTGTTTGGGAGTGTGGGGATTTGGGGCTGTGCCATCAGGGGACAGCTGCTGTGCCCATCGCCCCAGCCACTCCCGGCTCCCACGAACCCTCCCGGGTCCATGGCACGTCTGCAGCCATAGTCCCCTCAATGCTACACTCATGGGGCGGGATCAGGCCTCCCCCCACCCCACCATAAACACATGGTGCAGGGAGTGGGTGCAGCCCTTGGGGAAGGTCACCCTTCCCAAAATGTACACAAGGAAGGAAAGGGAGGGGCTGTTCCCACCCAGCATCTCCTCCCAGCACCTTTCCACTTGTCTTCATTCTTGACAGGCAGCTTCCTCCTGTGCTTCTTCCTGGTCTCCTCCTCCAGGTAGAGCAGGACCCGCTCCTGCTCTTCTCCCGACCGGTTCATGAAGTCGTTCCAGATCTGACAACAGAAGCCACCACAGGCACAATTTGCTATGAGAGGATCTGCCTGGAGATTCCTCACCCCAGGACCTCATTGCCCTCTGGCACACACAGCAGCAGCCGAGCACCAGGCTCACAGATGCCAGCCCTGACACCAGACCAGGCAGAACCTGGGGTGCACCAGCTCAGGCAGGGGAGGCAGAGGGTTCCTCAGGAGTGAGGTACAGGCACCACGTGCCATGCCAGGGCCCTCCCAGCGAGCCCCAGGCCGGGGGGTGGCTGTGCCCACCTCCACATAGGTCTCGTTGTTACAGGCCTCGGTGAAGATGCTGGGGGTGGCCGAGTGGTCGAGCTCTCCCTCGTCGCTCCCGCAGTCGTCCCGCTCCAGAAGTGTCATCAGGTAGCGAGCTGGGGGCAAGAGCAAAGCCTGAGAGTGGAAACAGCACCTCCAGAGAAGCCCTGTGCCCCCAGTACACCCCTGCCTGCTACACAGTTTAGGGGAGGTTGCCACCTGCCCTGGGGAAGAAATCGTGCCCCAGCCCTTACTGTTCTCCAGCCTCTGGAGGCTCTTGCGGCCCTTGGCCCTCGGGATGAGGTCGGAGTTGCGGATGGCCTTGTTGATATAATACTGCTTCCGCTTGGACGGGGAGAACCGCTTGGACGGGGAGTC